TCCCCGGGGCGTGCTCGCCGTGGGTCACGCGGCCCGCGGCCTCCGTGCGGTGGGTGCCCAGGCTCCGCGTGGCGGCGGCTGGGTGGCTGGCTGCCCCCTAACCCCGCCGGGCTGCCCTGAGCGTCTCGGGCTCCTGAGAAGCGTGGCGAGGTCCCGGGCCTGCGACGGTTCGCCGGCGAGTGCGGAGGCAGCCGGGTAGGCGGCAGGGATGGGCGCGGGGGCGCCGCCCTCAGGCGATGCGGAGAACTGGGCTCTCTCTCTTTATTTCAGGATTGGGAATCCATGCCACACTCACCTGCCTGCTCGACTGAGGAATTACCATGGTAATACACGTCTTATTTAAGTATAAGAAATTTGTATATATAAAAACATGTATATAGCTTTCGCTAAATTAGTTTAATACCAGTCTGCCTCGTCGATGGGCACGTCCATCTCCTGTCGTTGGGGGGGGGAGGTGTCCAGCGTAGTGATCTGAACACTTGGGGCATAAAGATGACGGGGAGACGGGTTGCCCAGGTGGTCTGCGTGCGCCAAAGGGAACAGCGAAGCAGGATGAGGCTGAGCCCTCCTTTTGCGAGTTGGTTAGTTTTCGTTCCTTGGTTCTGTTGAGCCACTTTCATAACCATATATGTGGGAAGTAAAGAGAGGCGGGTATCATGGTGTGCAACTCCAGAGTGCCGGCATGTGTCAGCATGGACTGGCCCAGGCACTTACCCTCTGCTGCCGCTGTCCTGGGTCCTGTGCAGGATTCTCCCCTACGGATTAAGAGGCAGAAAGCCAGCGCCCATGCGACCCGGACTGCAGGCTCTAACAAGTGATTCTCTCTTCAAGTCTTAGTTGGAGGAAAGGCTTTGGAGGAAATCTTTTGTGCAGGGAATTCTTGAATTTTATGCCCAGGAAGGCTTGCAACATCCTTAAACTTCCATCTCATCCCCAAGTCGTTGGCTCACAGAGCTCCATCTTAAACCAAACCACTCCAACTTCTCACTGGATCTCTCCACCAGAGAACATTTCCCAACTGTGTTCAAAATCCAGGTCTTTTTTTTTTTTTTTAA